CAAAGCACTTTATGTTTGTACTGTTTCATTTCCATAACATGATCAAACTTGTAATTATTTTTGGGGTATCCATCATTATCATTGAAGCAGGTGAGATTTTTAAGGTTGCGACGTAAATTCTATGCCTTTTTTGTAATGAACTACTTTTTCGTGAACACAATAGGGCCATGATGTTTTATAATTAGCGTCCCAGTAGGTTTCCTATATCTTGTTAAGTATTTCGTCGAATTTTTCAATGCCACAGGCTGAAAGGTCTAACACGAAATAAAGTACCGCAAAAGAGATCCGTTCACTCGTCTTTAAAAAGCCAACGTGGACGGGCCAATACCTTAGTCACAATCGTGACTGCCCAGTGCAATACAAGCGAGGTTCGTTAAGCAGTCTGTCTAATGGGATTGATCGTGTTTGCACAAACGACGCTATTGATGATGAAGTTAGGTTGTTAAACAAAACGTGGAAACTGGCTATCCCTTAAAATTCATAAATAGATGGAAATGTCACGGTATACTGAGACGTACTATAACCTTGGCAGAAAGGAACCTGTCTACATCGTTTTTCGGTTTGGAGGTGATTCAAATAGCTTTTTGCTGATACAAAGGCTTAAATAAGTTGTTAACAGGACGTATTACGCAGCAAAGGTCTTTATGAAAGACAAAACAAGGTCCATGACTCAGCAAAAACGTAAAAGTTATGAAAACGGTTGAGCCACATGCCATTGTGTTTATCGATTTGAATATGTGTGTGTGGCCACACATACATGTGGAGGAGTAATCGTGATCTCCAAATTAGGGTGTGCGAATATGTACGTAAGTGGATGCAAGAACAAATAAAATCAAATGATCCAATAATAGCAGATAATAAACATCCATCATCCTCTATTGCCAGACACATGGTTGGAACGGGTAATAAAATTGATCTTAACACGGTTTTTGTGGTGTTGTAAAAAAGGGTGTATTCTAAGGTTTATTGAAGTAGCATATGAAAATTGAAACATGCTCTATGTACTCAAATACCCTTGTTCTCATCTTAAACCCATCCTGGTAATATTAGCTTATTATGCGGCGTGATGAGGCTTCAAGTAGTTTTTCGTATTATTTTCTTTATTATCATTGTCTTCACTTACTCTCCATTCCCAGTCAAGTTGAACCTTTATTTTTTGTATATAAATTTTCTTAAAAAGAATATATGTGATCAGATTGTTCGGAATGCATTGAGCTAATATCTTGCATAGTTTTGATAATCTTTTTATTCTTATTGCGCCTTTCGAATTTATGAAAGGGACTGATTGCTACGAATATCATGACCATTTTTTTACTTATAGGGGACTTGATGTTCAGAACTGCCATCTGAAAGATACATCACACTGAACGACAGTTTATCAGTTACGCGTAATAGAACAAAAGAGAATCGAATGGAAATCATCCAATTTTCCACCTATACTGTCATATATAGAAGCACTATGAGGATAGCTAGTTGTTTGTAACAACTCACAGGTGAATAATGTTGGCCGTTTGAGCACAAACAGATGTAACGGTTATGCGGATATTGTGTTTACAAAGCTGTCCTGAAACGTTCTTGGAGAAAATTCACTAACTAACGTTAATATTCGTAATAATAATACTATCACCTTTACTCGGGTTTGGCATCGCCATTTTAACTGGTTTCTCACCTATGTAAAGCGGACATGTTAATAGCCTCATTTCGAACGCAGTATTCATAAACATTCAATGAAGACTCGGTTGTCTATTGATATATGCTTATAGATGCCAGTTATATCTATATTATATGGTATATGTTATATGCTATCTTGCTTCCCAGATAGTGTTTAGTTCCAGTCTGTGGTGTGTTCAAGAATGTCCAATGAGTTACAAGTTCATCTTAATCTCGTCTTTTAATTTATTTCGCGTCCTCGACCGTTTATCAAAACATGGTGCCAAACAATCGTTAACTTCTGAGGGCATAACATCAAAACCTCGATGTCAATAGTTAGTGATAAACGCTCAGCATTTGTTTGATCGAAATGCTGAGTAAGAAGCTCGATAAACGTAAGCAAGAGTCTTGTTGACTTTCGATTATGTCCTGGTCAGTCGTTGACACCGAATACACAGTTCTTGTATTGCAAGCGAGTGAGTTTAAGCCTTCGCTTGAAGCAGTCAATAAACAAATTATAATAGACATTGAAAATCTGCAGTAGCAATACCTGAGGCATCCGTAACAAGTCATCTCCTAGGGTTTCCCTAAACGCTGGTTAATATCCTAGCATTCAAACATATGTACATTAAATTTCTCACGAGAACGTTATTTTTTAAAATTGGAGCGCCCATTTAATTTTTATCATTTTCAAACTAGTTGACTAATGGGGGATTTGGTTGTATTATATATGTGATAATTTGTTGACAAGTAACAATTGGAGTTTAATATTCGTAAGACTACCTGTTGCTCTGAAGACCCGTAGTGAGTTATATTGGACTGTATCACTTCTGTTAAACAAATGTGTTATCGAGTTTTGAAATGAAACATGACTCTCATCGTTGATCCAATGGTGAAGGTAGTGGCGTCTTTAAAAACTATGTTTATATTTTTCAAACGTTCACTACGATGTCCTTTAAATCGCTGATGAATATGGAGAGTGTATTTCACCTGCATTTGCGACATACCTCATTCACATACTCGTTAAAATTCTTTAAAGCCACATTCGAATTATACTCAGGTGTAGAAGATTTGGAATAGCTAAATTCTTATTTTCGTAGTTATGTTACCCCAAATCCATTCTGTCCTGGGCTTCTCTTCTGATTCTATCCAATTGCTGTTCATTCTTCTCATGCCTGTTTCATTTTCTTAGCGCAATGTATTCTTTGATCCTCTTATTCTCATCTTCCCTTGATAGATCCATGCGAGGGCTATCCTTGTGATGCGGTTGAGTGTTTTATCCAATATTTGTCATACCTACTTCCAGCGCTTCTTCCAGATTTGTTCCTCCGCTGGGATCTGATTTGTTTTCTCCCATAGTAGGTTGTTGCTGAGAGTTTTCGGTCAAAGGATCCGAAGTATTTTGCGTGGGTGGCTGTTAATAAACTCTTGCATTTTCTGGATGTCTTTCGTAATACTTCAAATTTGCGTTGCATACAGTAGAACCGCCTTGAAAAATAACTTCCAGGTCTACAGAAGCTGTATTGAAACTACATGGTGCAATAATACTGCTATAATCCCTAAGTAGAAGACACCCAAAACAGAGCAAATATTTTGTTCAGCTGCAAGATTTAAAGTAATAAATAATAATATTCTTACGATAATTTATGAACCACCTTGAGCGACGCTCAAGTGACCTAAAGACAACTCACGTACTTTCTGTGGTGAAAGTAGGTTTGTTGAATAACATGAGGAACTGAGATATGAGATTATTTTTTGGAATTCAAGGTTACTGATTCAATCAACGGTTCTCATCACTGACTGATATCAGCTATAATCCTAAAACGCTAATTAAGTTTGTGGATTAATGAGTTTCCCGCCAAAATTCAAGACTTGCTATTCTTGTTGATTCGTCCATGAATTGTAGTCTCACCATTCAAGCAAGCGTATAAGTGAGCTAGCCAATTACTGCTGTTCAGATACATTTCTGCCCTTCAGTGTTCTGTAAAATAAAGCAAAATTATTTTTCAACAGGGGATTTCTTTTAACTTATGCCTGTATATAAATATAAAATGTCATTGTTCAAGTTGTTTTGAGTGTTTTGAATAAAGGCCTACCAAACAAGTGTAAGTTTTACGGACAGACGTATAAGGTAGTCGAATTAGTCATACAAATGGAAAATGTAGCCAATAAAACTGAAATTACACATTGACATTTAAATGTTCTGTTGGATGCAATGTTCCACAAAGAACTTAGGGTTGTGTTGATTTTGCATGCATGTACTAATCACACGTTACTTTTTTTGTTCTAGTGACCCATAATGTAATGTATACGAAAAACGAACCAACCTCCTGAACCTGTGGCATCGAAAAGTGAAAAAGTTTTTGGAAAATTACATGCAAACAGAGCTTTGCGTTCACATCATTAAGGTCAGGACCGAAATGCAGCATCAGAGAAATTCAGTGTTGTGACATATTTTGCTTCTCAAAGAGATTCGTATTTAGTAGACCTCTACTGAACGAATAGCAGGATACAAATATGCGTTGTCTGTTAATTCCATCGTAGATGGAAATTGTTTGAAGTTTCAACGACTGCATTTGGGCTGTTTAGCATAGGCGTCTTTTGGTTTCGATACAAAAAGTACTGAAATTATTCACGCACCTCGTAGTACCATCATAATTTGTCTGTAACCCAAAGTGGTAGTTGATTTTAACAGCACTGACTTTCAAAAAATAAATAAAGATCACTTTGTCCTTAGATAATATCCACTAAGTTTTCAAAGTATGATTAGTTGAAGGTAAGACATGGAGAAATAATGGCTGACCATTCTAATGAAAACCATGAATTCATGGATATTCCATGGAAATGAAAATTACACGTGTATCAGCCAGCCAAAACTGCTTTAGAAATTGTTTGAAATGCTCTGCAAAACTTAGAAACACTTCAACTATACGAGAAAATTAATTCGTCAAAACCTGTCATAATTGGTTGTTGAACATTTCGAGTAATAGATAGATACTAGTTTTTTGGTCAGCTTGTAACTTTTAGTTCCAGTGATAACAAATTTGCATCTAATATCCCCTCGTCCTTCGTGCCTTACCAAACGGAATTTTCAAAGGTATTCTGAAACGTCATAAGCACAGAACAAGTTACCTGTTGGCTGGCCATCAACTTCCCGGTCGAATCCTAAAATCATGGAACGCGTTACCGAAACTCGTGGGTGAATCTCTCTCTGTGTTGATTCATTAAAAATAAACTTAACAAACTGAAAGATAACTATTTTCAGGAATAACAACGCCACTCAACCTTCTATTTTTTCAAGCAGAAATCGAGTAGAGACATAAATGTGCATTGTACTGTGCTTTGCACCATGGGAATAAACTGCGGGTTGCTTGAACCTTTTGGTAACGGTTTGATTTAAAGCTATCAGTTGATAGATCAATACCTTTAATTGGGCAGTTACAGCTAAATAGAGGCTAATTGAGCAGCGGATATATGCACATCTTATTGAGGAATTTAATCAAGATGCAGTTCCCACCAACTGATTGAGTTGCTTACTGTACATACTAGTTGTAGCTACAACAGAATAACTTGTGTTTACTAAGTGGAAAACAACATATCTCAGTGGACAACGTTACAATGGACCAAAAGGTTTCTAGTTATTTGGTCCCTCGTGAAGTTCTTTTGCGGTATGGTGGAATGTAAGTTAGCTTTTACTGTGACGTTTCCATGGTTGTGCAGAACCAATGATCAGAAGAAGCATCTGTACAGTGAAATACATTCATTGAATTTCGTGTATATACCAAGCTTTCTGAAGTCACAAGGATCTGGTGTTGAACTTTTGTGTGTGTTCTTCATATCACAATATGTGAATTTAAGACTCAATATTTTGTAGATCAGTACGGTGTTTGTCAGTCTCCGAAAGATTTCGATGGTCAAGTTTACGAATATTTTGTGTGCCCTACATCGCTAAATGAAAAGCTTGGCTCTTTCGAGGGCGAGCAAAGATTTTGTTGTGGAGCACCTCCACAGCAATATTGTTGTACATCCACCCAGTTTTCGTAAGTCATACTTTCTTTTTGAATGCTCGGTCGTCTCAAAGACCAATTTCGGTATAGTTCAAACCGTCTTATGCATTGGGTCTTAATAGTGTTATGTCATGTGGCAAGTTTCATTCTCGTAATTCATGTGCGTTACATAATTCTAAATGTTTTAAATGTGGTAATATAGAATGCATTTACTGGGTATGCGAAACTACTATTCATTTTGCTTCAAGTAGTACTAAATATTGTAATTTTAATCCCATTAATTCGGCCGTTCATAATGATCATTTATCTTTAACCACCATTTCGAAAGGTAATGTTCATATTCAAAAGCGATTATATGCATCGCTCGGTTCATTTCATGACTTTATTGTGGGCATATACAGTACAGAATCCACTATTTGATTCAAGAACCTGAAACCTTTAGATCCTAGCGTTGCAGTACGACCCACTGAAGTCTTAATATTGGGGATTACTGGACACAGACTATCCATATGAAGATGCTGTGAACGACTAATAAGAGATGATAATTCTTCATATATGCCTTGTGCATTCTTAGCTACCGGAACAGGACTGTCAATAGTGGGTTTTAAAAAATTCGAAAAAGCTCTAAAATTAGCTGTTTTTATTAGTTTCTAAAGAAGATTGTGATGCTTCACTTAAAGATTCGATAGCCGCATGTGCTAAGTGGAGGTATGAAAATTCAGCTCCAAGTGTTGTATGTCACAGTATATTGTCACGTGATATTATGGTACCCTGGTGTTACGCTATGATGACTAAAGCACTCAAACTAACAATCTGGTCGAAGACTTCCGAAATAGTGCTATCTGAGTCGATTAGGACTATTTGGGCACAAAAGAATGTATTATATTTGTAATTTATAACAAGCGCGCAATCAAATACAGAGGAATAATCGATTGGTACGAATACCACATACTTTTTGTGCACAATATCAATAAATCGACTTGAATTGCAAATTTCGTCATTTGTGTGACTTCGTTTCTGTTTAGGAAATTATTCTGGTCGGGCCTACCGATATATTTTACTTCCAGTCTTAAATGTAAAACATTCCCTTTCTTTGCTGGTATAATGATGGTTCGTTTAAGGCTTTTTTCTCTCCAGCTACTCAAAACGTTCCAGAATCTGACAAAAAATGGTTTTTTAATTTCATGCGTATTCAACGGTTTGTCTACATACTAGTTTTCGGCTTTCTAACCACTAGAAAAATAAACACACGTTTCTTTAGAGAGTAAACTGTAATTCAATCTACGAAATATACAAATAGAATGGTTGTTTATCAGTGTTGGAGTAACTAGGTTTTTTATATAACCCTATTATTTTTATGTTCATAAGTAATGATATTGTGATAAGGAGTTACAAATGTTCTACAATCAGGGCGAGCTGCCTTGTCTTATTCGAAAAAAATAGACTTATGGGCAAAGTATTTGGATCCCACTGCTTCAAGGATGCAGTCGTAATATGAAAAATGTCAAGTACAGATTTACATACTTAGCTTTAAATTATGAGTTTTGTGAGGGATGTCTAAACTGAAGTAAATGGGGTGGAATCGATCCCTAGAACTCAGTAGTCCGAAGTTGAATGCTTTAAATACTAATTGAAGTTGGTTTATGTAGATTATCTTTTGCTAAACTTGTGGAAACAATTTGTTTTCTGGGTAACTAATAACAGTGTTTAAATTTTGCCGAAGTGATATGATAATACATACAGAAGTTTTGACTTTTTGTGATGATTGATACAGTCATTTGGGACTCATAAAACAGCATACTTGTACCAAACATGCGATAGCTAAATTTCTTAGCTCGATTTTATTGATTTGATTGTGGTGCTGATTTTAATAAGCGTTTGTCTGTCTATATATCTATTATTTCTACTTCATTATTCTTTTGGTCTATAATTGCTCGACGTACATTGTTTGGTTAACGCCCTGGACGGTTTGAACTCACTTCATCGTGTTTGACCTCACTATAGAAATACTGGTTTTAATTCACCATAATATGGATCTGATCTTAAGGGCCAGTACCAATAAAATCACTATAAAGCCTAATTCCGGTGTTAATCCAATAATGCCATTATTCCAATCCACTTGTTTCCATTCAACCATGTTGTGATTTGATTCTGTTTAGTACGATTGCATACTTTAGTTAATTTAATTAGTGAAACATACACTCAAGAAAGTTGTTACTTGAGTTCTTATGTAATCCATTTGTCATTAGTCATCCAGTTGGAAATAACGAATTTAACATTTTATGATCAGGAACTTGCCAATAACGTAACCTCGAAACGTGTAGTCAAAAATGCAGTCGTGAAAACAACATAGTGAGTGCATATTGACTTTCGGGCATTTTGGGACATGATTTGACAGTTTTGTTATCAGTATTCACTTCACCATCTTTGTCCATGAAATCTCATCTGTGTTTACAATTAGTAAAGTCGGTCCGTAGTATTAGATTAGGAGTTTGTCATATGATAGTTATTTTTGTCTGATATTCACCTTGACAATGAAAAACGAACCCACTAAAAATCTTTATGAACTTATATTGCATATGTAATCATTTGTTCAAAATCTTTATTTAATTTTTTCGTAATTTATTAGGTGACAACGGTCAAGTTCATTTTTAACTGCCAATTCTTTATAACTCATGAATTCTAAGATTATTCACTTGAAACCAAAATCAAAGTTTATGTAGCTGGGTTTTACTCATATTTAATTGCTTTACTCCATACTCAAATAAGTTGTGTAGTATTTTACGTTCTCTTATGTTCTTATATTTTAATAATTTTACTTGTAGATCGGGAATTCATATCGTACAGTAAGTTACTATGGATATAAATTTGAAACTTTTCTTACCTATGATTTTACATGGAATACCGAGTGTTTTTGTTTTACAAGATATGTTGAGTCTTCTAGGGATTAAATTCGTAAAGTTGGTATTGTTTATTAAATGTTTCAAAAGATGTACTGGTATAACGAATTGCGAAAAGCTACTGATAAATATCCAGCAAAACAGATCATATTTAGTCTTGGAATTTATCGTAATGCGGAAACTGTTACTTTTGTATTTTTACAGTTGAGTAGAAACTCCGTATCAAAGAAGTGATGACAGATCAATCGACATACAAGAAGTCTGATACCTCTTATTGACAAAGATATAGGAAGACTTAGGTTTGCTTTGTTGAATAGTTTTTATAAATTCACTAACATTAGATATAGCATAAACACTATTCCGACCAAACCTGAAATCTAGTCAAATACTTGGTTCTCAAGGCAGGAGTTATTTACTCTTAGGACTTATGAAGGTCGAATAGTGATACAACGTTTAGGAAATCCCTTAAAACAAAAAAGTAGTGCAGAAAGGTTAAGTTATTTTTTCAGCCGCCCAATGGTAAATTTAAAAAAAAATAGGTGTAAACTGCCCAGTTCCTCTACTTTCGGGTGTATTTACCAGTTCGACTGCTCCTGTTAAGCAAGTACACCATCGTATTTCGAAACATCAGTTTTCATGGTTGACTAAAGGGCAAAATCAAACGACAGCAAGCTCTCTCCCTATATATATATATATATATATATATATATATATATATATATATATATATATATATATATATATATATATATATATATCGTAATACTGCCCTGTTAACATTCGTTTTAAATAACGAATCATTCAGTCAAGCAATTTAAAAATTGTAGTTTTTATGATTGGGAGTATAATCATTCCATTTTCTAATTATAAATAAACAATATTTTTGAGGCTTTTTGATATGTATATAGGAGGAGAGGGTGGTACGTTTTGTTTAGTTATTTGAATTAAAACGGAGTTTTCTAGAAATGATTCCAAGAGTGGTATTAAATCACTAGTAGCTGCGTTTATTTAATCGAAGTGAATCAACATACTGCTTAAAGTAGTAAAATTTTACTGTATTCAAATGATTTCGAAATTACTGTCAGTTATTCAAAATGTTATTTATTACTTCGACATCTTCATATCCGCTGACAATCAATGGATTAGTGGTTGAAAACGGCATTCGGTTTTCAATCAGAAGGTTGCAAGGTTTGAATTCCGTCTTCAAGTGCTATCGCTAGCCTTAACACATAAGGAAAGTTTAGTCTAAAGCTGAATACGTAAACTTGTGCTTATTGAATGAATTATATAATTTATTATATTACATTTCCTATCTCTTCTGCTAGTCCTTTATGTAGGTTGCTAAAATATTTGTCGAGACTGTCCAATTAGATTTAATTTATCGTTTATTATATTATTACCAAAAGAAGAGGTAAAGTTTTCGCGCAGAGTATAAATTTTAGTTTTCATTTATCAAGTGTTTATTTCTCTCCAACTTATCCTCTTTGTAGATCAGATCTTTTAATTTCACCTTCGATTTTTATTGGAGGCAGTCTTGGATTTCTTTTATTTGGTATCTTTTTCGTAATATACGCATATTCAAGACTAGCACGTAATCTTCGTAAAGCATCTAATAAGTTATTTTACGAAACAAACGTTGGTGTATTTGCTTCACCTGCTTTCCATGAGCCAATACAAGTAAGTATATATATATATATATATATATATATATATATATATATATATATATATATATATATATATATCAGATTTCCCAAATAAATCTTTTCGAACTATGATCCATGGTATTTAACAGACCATATCAGTTAGAAATATCATTAGACATTTTTATAGTTCTGCCGGTGCTAAGTGGGTAGTAAAGGCACTGGGAAGATTGCTTTCCAGTACAGTGTGCTGTCCAAAGACATACATGAATGACTTCGTTGATTAAAATCGTAAAGTTGGTATTCATTCGTGACCATAGATTTTCTTTCTGTAGCTGCGGTGTTTAGGTACTCATATACTCCACTTACCTGGCTAATGGCAACAGGTTATATTGCTAACAAATGGTATGATTTATTTCTTTGTAAAAATTTGAATCATTCTAAGGTTCAAAATGAGACAAAATTTACTACTGCTAGGTACTATGGTCAAGTTTTAGTTACAAACAACATTAAAGCATCTACTCAGCCCGTATGCTAACACAGGTTGATCAAACAAATTCCTGAATATCAACTACAAGAAATTATAAATTCCCTTTAATAAACAATCAACAGCTGAGTTTAATAATCTAATATAGTAAGCTGTATTTATCATACACTGATATGAGTTAAGAGAGAGAGAGCACGGGAAAATTGTTTCGTCCTAGTATGAGACTCTTAAATAGACTAGCCCGGGAAATGTTTTCAACAGTGTTGTTGAACCGGATGAAAAATTCAGTGAACACTCAGCTTCGAGATCAACAGGCCGGATTTCGTAGGGATCGGTCGTGCACAAACCAAATCGCGATACTACGGATCGATCAATTCAATGGAATTCGTCATTGTAAATAAACCTCCTTGATTATGAGAAAGCATTTGATAGTGTGGGTAGGAGAAACTCATGGGACCATCTTCGACACTATGGTTTATCTAAGAATATTGTTAACATCATCAGGAATTCATACGATAGAATACACTGCAAAGTGGTGCACGGAGGACAGCTGACAGATGCATTCCAAGTGAGGACCGGAGTCAGTCAAGGATGCCTACTCTACCCCTATCTCTTCCTTTTAATGATTGACCAGATTATGTCAACCTATGTATCTCAGAGGAAGCACAAAGTACAGTTAGCAGTTCAGAATTAACTAGACGACTCGCACTTCGTAGATAACCTGGTCCTCCTATCATATACACACGAATAATTGCAGATGACGACAACAAGTGTAGCAGCAGTCTCTGCATCAGTAGGCGTCAACATACATGAGGGAAAAGGCAAGATCCTGAATACAACACGGAGAACACCAATACAGCCACACTTGATGGAGAAGTTCTCTGGGATAGGAGGATCTGGTGCAGATGTAAAGGTAATGATTAGCAAAGTAAGGATAGCATTGCTACAATTGAAGAACATATGGAACTCAAAACAACTGTCTGCAAGCTAACATCAAAGTCAGAACCTTCAATACGAACGTCCAGACAGTTCTACTGTACGGAGCTGAAGCTTTGGAGAGCTACTACAACCATCACAAAGAAGGTACATGTATCTGCAAACAATTGTCTACTCAAGATACTCAATAACTGTTGACTGGATAGCATCAACAACAATCCACAGTGGCAGAGGAAAACTCAAATTCCGAATGGAGAGGAAATTAGGAAAATACGTCAGAAGTGGATAGGACATACATTGAGTAAACCATCAGACTGGTTCATGAGGCAAGCCCCAACTTGGGATCCTGGGGAGAAGAGGGAAAGATGACCCAAGAATACATTGCGTCGGTAATCAGAAGCAGACATCAAGAGAGTGAATAGCAATTGGAAATAACTAGAAAGGAGAGCCCAAGACAGTTAGCTGACGAATCCTGGTGGGTGATCTGTGATCGTTTGTCAGGGGTGACTGGTGTAAGTTAGTAACTATTGTGTATATGCAGTGCAGTGTGCATTTGCGACCGTATTAGATATGAAGCCCATCAGCTTCAGATCACTTAGTGATTGTTTAACTGACGGGAATACTAGGTTGGCATCTAATGGTATAATTCCAGCTTTGATCAATTCGCAACCATTTTTAGTGGTACGTCAACTGAGATCAATCTTTTTCGAATACAATCTGAAGGTTAAAACTAATTTCATATCGTCTTAAAACTTCGAAATTCTACTCTTTCTGCATTTCTTTCTTTTTTAATATTGTAACATAGATTTTGTCTATTTATTTTAAATAAAGAATTTAGAGCTGACCACTTCATCTGATATACAATCAAATGAACCACCTAAAAAGACGTTACTCTCTTGTGGTAGTCGATTAACTAAAATTTCTTCTGAAAAATCTGTCTCTGAAAATCCATCCAAAAATACAAACTTTACTACTAACAATGATCACTTGTTGGTAATATCCGATAATTCCGAAAGAGAATCAATTAAGAATTTAATTCATCAACATAAATCAAGACATTCTTATATAATAAATAATAATAACAATAATGCGAAGAAGAAGAAGAAGAAGAAAAAGAGTAGAAAGAATGAAAATTCAACACCAATCAAAGCTCGACCTGTACTCTTGAAAAGATCATCGTGATTTGTACTGTCCTTTGTTTTTTAACTTGATTTCTAATTATGTAATTTGATTTGCACCATTTAATTGAAATCGAAAATAACAATCGACAATGTGTACAGTTGTGATTATTAACAAATATACATAAATTATTTTCTTTAAGTAATAGTAATAACTGGTAATGTTTATGTTATGGAGTACGAGAATAAATATATTGACGAAATCAATTTACACATTAGATATTTTAGTGTATAACAATTAAGTCACTCAATCTGATTGTAAGTACGTATAGACTCAGATTTATAACATCATTAGAAAGGGTTTGAATTATCTGTTTGTTGATGATAACGAGTAAATTTCGATCAGTCCTTATTGGTATATATGCGGATTACCTCTATGTAGACATGATACAAGTTTTTTAGAATAAATTGATTTCAACTAATAGTGGAATTCAGGAGATATTTGGGACACTTCAGTTGAATATGCCCGTATCCCAATTTTGATGGTCATATTTAGGACTTCATTTCATTACCTCTGTCTTTGGACGTCCATTGAGTTCAGTGGTTGCAGGCATATCAGTTTGACAAGTGAAAAATAAGGTGAAACATATCCATCGAATTGCGCTGTTAGTCGCCATTCTTCTGTTCTATAGTTTGATATTATTGTGATAGTATGTTAAATACTTAACAGCCTTCACCTACATTTTCGACAATGTATCCTGACTGAAGTGAGAGTATTGGTTTTTAGTTAGTACGAGCTGTGAAGACGAGAAAATGTTAGACCTAGCTATTTTTTATTGAACTAATTTTACAATTTCTAACTAAACACTTATAAGACTATTAGTTTATGGTATTATTATGTACTCCAAATTGTAAGTTATCCTTTGATTATCACTAGTCATTATTATACGTTTTACCATTCTCATAAATCCCAAGTCAGTTAGTAGATTTTAAATCTGTTGAGATGTATTGTTTTCACTGTAATATGGCTTTATATTTTACTGATATAATACGACTGTTCACTAAGCTGATAATTCGCTATTTCGACTTCAGTAGGGATGAACTAGATTGTCACTTTTTCCCTGTCCTATAACTAAAGAAAAAAGTCCAAGTTGATTGAGAAGCTATATTGAGAAACACACAAAGCTAATGAGCTAACTTTCGAGTTCGCATCACTACATACTAGTTACTCTCAGCTTTTGTTATTTGAATAAGTAATCAAACTAACTAAATATCTTTTGTATAAAAAATCTAAATGAAACAATTAATACGACCAAAGTACATTGAAAGTTAAAATGAATGAGATTTGTATTGAATTAATCAGTACAAGTAAAAGAGCACTAAGTGTCAAATGAATAGAACTTACACTGTATTAGTTACTGAACATAAAAGTGTACTGAAAATCAAGTGAACGAAAATTATCTTAAATCAGTGCGAGATTTTAAGATTGGGTTTCTCTCTATTATGTTGTATTTAGCGATTTAATGTCACTAGCACATCCCTTTAACAATATTCTTCGTTAGGATTTACATAAAATGAGACCGTCTGTCGTATCCTTGGGTTTCTAACCGTTGGTCAGGAAAATCACTCTGACTTCAATCATATAGTCTACAACTACCTGTATGGATATTAGCTAAGTTTTCTCACAAAAAAGTGTGATAAATGTAATATACACAACTCCTAACCTGATTCATTTTATGTTTACTGATCTCTCTCGTTTTGATCAAAACAAAGTCACATGTTAGCGTGCATGCAACAAAAGTTAATATTTTCAAGAAATAAATAATGCAACCAAAATGGAAACTCACAAACTTTTAATTAACATACCAAATTAATTAGAAACTATATACGTCTATCAAACAAGTGTTACTGCTCACTAATTCCTGCAACATAAGGATAATTTTTTCGCCGTTGAAAACGCCAACTGAGCTGGGCCGAAACTGGAAGGCGTGGGAGACCGAAAGTCCTGGATTCGAGTTCCAAGTATTGGAGCATGGATGTACACTGGTGAGGACTCCCACACTCGGATGAATGGCTGTCTAATGCTTCCATGTTTTCAGTAGTAGTTTATTACAGATGAGTTCGTGAATTCGACAATCGTGGAAATACTACGAACTTCACAACTATTTTCTATCAGTCCACTTTTCTTTGTCCAAGCTTCGAATAGAGTTGTTATTATTGGGATAATATAAATAGAAAAATAAACAGAAGTATCTTTGACTTTTCTGAAATCTCTTCCTTTGTTTATAAGAAATTATATAGGTTGCTAGTTAAGTTTACTTTTAACGATATCCCTACGCCAACAGTTAAACAAGTAAATTGATTAATTATATATTAATTACGTCAAATCTTTCCGATTTCATAAAACGTTATAAGTGGTTACAAAGCTTTAAAATAATGATTACGTGTGATTTGTGTCCAAATTTCAATAACCAACCTTCTACATTATAATCCCACCACCTGGAAATTAATAATTTATAGTAAGATAAAAAAAGAAAATGCTTGTTGAAACATACAACAAGACAGATTGGTTGAGTGAAAACATCTTTTGGCGGAGTTCATTCATAAATTTAAAAAAAATTGTGAATTCGAATAGTTTTTAAAATCAAACTCTATAACATGTATGCTAACAACGTTAGTTTATTAGAAATAGTGTGAAAAGCAACTAAAAATGTCGAGTTAAGTTACTATAATTAGGAAACTGCAAATGGAATTCTCAGATAACTGGAAGTTAAACAAGAATGATATTAGGACTAGATCAAGTATAGTAGCTGTGAATTTTACGTGCTGAACCATACTCTCCCACAACGTAAATGTGTATGCGGTTTCAAGTATACTTTCTAGCCTTTTAAAATACCATGATTATCCATTTTGTATAATTCTTTTATGTGGTTAGATGACGCGTCGGTGAAACATATATTTGCCTAATTCTTCATTATTTCTTTCCGAGGTACAGTCTTTCGTAGGATAAACAGGTTTTGCTTCATAACGTTTAAAACAGAAAGCATGTTTCACTGTGAAAGTTATTTATTAAGACCAAGTTTATTGTGCATAGATTAGCTGGAACGATGTTGCGTTAAATGCTCCACATAATCGGTTCCTGAAATTAAAATTAAAATAAAATTTAACTGTTTGATAGCGATATATATATATATATATATATATATATATATATATATCGTTGACCAATATTAGTAAATTGAACCTTAAATACTACAGAAAACTGGATATTTTCTCTGGTTAAACTGATTATACATGCGTAAATACTTTAAAATACATGTTATGCAGATAAATCAGTTTATGCAACTGTTCCTGTTGCTTGTCTAGCTCATTAACATTTATGTTTTTAGATATACAGAACCGGTCTGGGTTTTTATATACTTTCATCATTGAGGAGTCTGTGAGCACGAATCTTCAATATATCGTCACTGACATTACTTTCCACGGAATTCTTACTTAATCTATGCATAAATATGAGTTGCTTTTTTTCAGCAAACAAATAACTTCAAGTCAAATATCAGAGAAGCAAACTTCGAGAATAAGAAAGACTGTTAGTAGCAAGTTTTTTTGTTCACTGTCTGAAAAAAAAACGAGACACGTTATGTGGTCAACAGCCGTTCACGAAATTCAGTGAAACTACGTTCAAACAAACCTCACTAGTGAGATTTGTGTACATTTCATTTAAAATTAACATCAGCATTATAAAGTTTAAAACCATGAGTTATAAGATGTTGACCCAGCATTTAATTTAGTGCATGTTTTCGTAGTAATTTTTTGGCATTTAGGCACTAGAGGGCTGTCAATTTCAGGCAGCTGAGACTAAATTATAAGAAAAAATTATCGTTATAGACACATTACGTGTCTTTGGCACAATTATTTTGACGAGAATTAACCTACCTGCTCTTTCCTCTGGCTTCACTATCAATAGTTGTAAATTGTATGTCCCTCCAGCTCAGCGGATCAGATTCAGGACGCCACTGGGTTAAAAAATTTCCTTGCTCTTTGGGCCTAGTAATTACACTTTCGGACTTATACCTTGTGTTATAATCACTCAGAAGGATTTCGTTTTTCCCTAGTTTGAAACCTCGGGAAGTGTTTAATTTTTGACCACTTTTCATGTTCATGGTAAGTTGTTGGTCTGATGTTAGACTTGGTGAAGCCGACTGAACAACCGTATTTGACGGATAGTTCTGGTAAAACAGTAAAATTTGTAAGCTGAAGTCATAATATTTGCCAACATCTAATGTATTTTTAAAAAACGATAATCATATAATTTTCCTGAGCCACACTGATTTAATACTTAATATTTTACAAAACTGATTAGCTAGTCTTTGTTTTCGTGAATATTTAAAGCGAAAGCCTTTAGTCTTATTGTTTACTTTGCTATGTCACTCAAAGATATTGCACAACTGTCTTATATTTTAGAAGTTCTGACAGTTCTTTAATGTATTTTAATTAATTTTGTTTAGCTTGACTGTCAGCCATCAGAAGTGATTAAGAATAAAACAGCCTCATATAAAAGTAAATAGTCCCAAACTGCTGCATACTGTAAGAGTATGAAAATACAAAGATAATAAAAGGGACAAGTGAAAAGATAGTGGGACATCACGAACAGGTATACCATAATACTAGGTCGGCTAAGATGAGTTAAAATTAAAAAAATATTACCCATAATTGTGAATGTTAGGGAACTATCTCTCAATCAATGGAGCATCTAATGTCTCTTTATTCGAGGGCCTGGTGTAGATTCATCATAACTATTACTAGGTTTAATGATATTATACGTAAATGTGAAATTTTTTGCATGTTGGAAGAAAAATTAAAGCTGAACGAGATACATTCTATAAGTTGTTTAGTAAAAATAAAAGCATTTAGCGATCGCTTTCAATTATTTCATACTGATGGGTGCTAAAAATGTTGAGTTGGTTATTGTTCATGATTGCGTGTAAGAAATATTGATACAGAATATCCAGTAGTTTAGCATACATCTTGGAAAGGACAATCTACAGTTACTTTTGCATAAAATTACTTTAGATTCCAACTAAAAATAAATCGTTCGCAGGTAATGATGGTTCACATGGATTATGCTTTTCAACTTTAGTATAACCTTCTATGAAGCTCTAGGAACCTAACTAATTTCGAAGCTAGAATAGGTAAAACTCG